ATAGACAAGCCAGGAATCCAGGTTTCTTGCCCTCCACTTTTGCTTTCTTTGAGCCTCAGCACTTTATTTTGAAAGCAAGATGTGGGTAGAATCTCGGATTTTTTGTGTGAATTAAAAAGCACCCAACTAATATTGAGGTTTTTTCCCCCCAAGATGATAAAACTGACATGGATTTGTTGGTGTATTTATTTTCAATGTTGCATTTAATGAAGTAAGTTATTTAAACATCTCTAAACTCTGTCCTGCCAACATCTGATTATTTATGCATGATAACGTTGCTGATTGTATAGGCTTTAATTGTTGGAAACCAGCATCTTGTACTCTATAAGCATTTGATTGTTGATCTTTGTCTTTTTAAAATGTCTTCTTCCCCAGGCTGATTTATAATATGCTACTATAATATGATGCTTTTCTATCTCTGTGTAGATAGATAGATCTATTTATATTTGATAACATGTATTTATTACAATTTGTTTTTCTATTATGTTACTGTGAAAATTTGTTTGGAAAAATGGGATATAAACAACAATAAAAGAAAGGCAAGCATTACCATTGTTTGTAATTTAATATTGCCATAATATTACAGATGGTCCTCAATTTAACAACCATAATTCAGCATGGAATTAGTTGTGGTCGTTAAGCAGGTCGCCATGTGACTGCACCTGATTTTATGTTACATTTTGAGGCAGTCGTTAAGTGAAAGCCCTGGTTGCCAAGTAAATACATTTTATCCAATGTGCTTTTTCTTTTTTTGCTGGAAACCAGCAAAAACTGTTGAAAATCAGAGTCACATGATCATAGGATGCTGCGAATAGTCATAAAGGCAAGTTAGTTGCCAAGCCCCCCAAATATCACGTGACTACAAAGGGTGTGCATGTAGTTGTGCAGCCATCGTAACCTCAGACTCAGGTTGTAACTTTTTTTTGAGGGGGTCCATTGAAACTTTGAATGGTTAGACCATCATCCTAAAGTATGTGTCCCCCTCAATACAATTCAGCAAGATGTCTATCAGTAAGACGATTTCCCTATTTATGGACCCTTCACGTTAAGCTTAAAGCTACAGAAGGGCACATTTGCGCATCTATCTAGACATTGACAATTTGGCGCAAAGCTCAAACTTGCCCAAATCTCAACAGATTTGAGTTTTATGCTCTTCTTCAGAAAACCTAATCTTAAGACGCCTTTGAAAACAAGCACCAAAATGCCATCGCTTGGATCAAGGCACTCCTTAAAAGTCACTGCTTAAAGAAGCACTTTTGAGGAATTCTGGAAATTATCACCAAGTTGTCGCTGCGAAGCTTTGGAATCACATCTGCACCACCGTCCCCTTCGATGTATGTGAGCGTGTGTCCTCAGGATATGCATTTGTGTAAGAAGCGTTAAGATGGTGGCCACAACCATGAGATCCACGCCTGGTCCTTTTTTGCTTGCATGGTAAAACTTTGGGGGAAAGGGAGTAATTGCACAGTTGTGACACCATCTCGAACCCCTGTCTGGGGAATCCCCTCCTGCTGATATTCCTGGGAAGAAAAGGCCATCTCAGCTTGGATACAAATTATTTGGCTATTCACAGAGTCCACCGCAGGTTCTTGGATGCCTATTTGCAAGTTATTCCACAGACAGGCTTTTAATTATGAAACTATCTGGAGCTAAAATTGAGCCTCCCTCCCTCCCTCGTCACAAATTAGGGCAGGGCTCAAAACATTCATTTATTATAGAACTATTTACTAGAGCATTTCTTAGCCTGCGTTGTAATCATTTTATATATTCCATCAGAAAACACATCTGCCATCTGGATTCGTTAATGCAGAAGTCCCCAACTTTTTTTTTTAGTTCTGTGGACCGGTGGCGGCAGCTTTGGGGAATGATTTCATATACACAAACTGAATCCTGCGCATGTGCAAGCTTCGGGTGCTCACCAGACTGGTAGCAGACACAGCCCAGGCACTGGGGGCACTGGGCATTCTCTCTCTCTCTCTCATCCATCTTTCATCTACATTATCTGTCTATCTATCATCTATCATCCATCCATCCATCCATCCTTCATCTATCCAATCATTAATCCTTCATCTATCTCAGGGGTGTCAAACTCAATTCCAAACTCATTTTTTTTGTTTTTTGTTGTTGTGTGTATGTGTTGTCTATGTAATAAAAATAAATTTTTTAAAAAACAAAAAAAACCTCAATTCCATTGAGGGCTGCATCAGGGCTGTGTTTGACCTTGGGGGGCTGAGATGGGTGTGGCCAGCTCAACATCACTCATTCAGGGACAACTGTGGGGCCCCGAGTGCTCTGCCAGCGAAAACCAGCTATCGAGGTGTTTCCAGCTGTGATGGCCTCCTGCAACCCACTGCCAGTGAAAATGGAGCTCAGGAGGGCTGCACACAGCTCTCCCAAGCTCAGTTTTCACTGGCAGAGGCACTGAGGACCAGTCCTTTGCTGTTTCCAGAGTGGCCCTATAGGCCAGATCAGGGCACCAGGCCTTGAGTTTGACACCCCTGATCTATCTAATTATTCATCTTTCATCTAATTATTCATTTAAATTCATTTATACCATTCATCCATCCATCCATCTAATCATCTATCTATCTACCTACCTACGTATCTCATCATCATCTATCTCTTCATCATCAATCTAATCTATATAAAAGAAATCTCTAAACAACTGCAAAACAATTGATATTCAAGATGTAAGAAAATGGTTGGTCCGGTCACAGTGTTACCAAATGCCATAGGCTGCAAGGAAGCCCTTAGAAATGGATCCCATTGATTTCACAAGGCTTCGCGAACACCACCGTACTCAGATGGGGCCCCAAGTGTTGGAAAAGAAAGAGCCCAAAATGGAAAGCCCCACTGGAAATTGTCTTTCTGTGGGCTCAAGTCAGCAGACGACAAAAAAGAAGTCTAATGCCAGACAATGGCTATGAGCAGCTTGGGTAGGCCTTGGATTCACCCAAGGGTAGACTTTACTGCCTCGTGAGATCAAACTAACCGATATTGTCTGCTGCTTTGCTGAAGACCTCAGCTAGCTTGCCTGAAAATAATTTGACTGCCCCCTCCCCATATTCAAAACAGCAGAGGAAACTTAACTTTAAAATTTTAAAAACAATTCATTTGCCATTGAAGTGTTTCACAGTTCAGGCCTGGGCACCAGGGGGCACCAGATAGCTTTCAAAAGAAATTCCCAGGCCGCTAAACATAGTTAGGAGGCGTCTTCCTCTAATCAGGGAAAAATAGCCATTATTTGCTTGGTAACCGAACTAGAGCATCAGTTCCTGCCAGACAGTATGCTGGCTGGGGATGATAGGGATTATAGTCTAGCCCATCCAGAAGATCTTGATTTGGGAAGGCTGGGGAGCAGAGTATCAGTTGTTTCACCATCTTTATGAGGGGAGTGGCAGCTATGGGTTTGAGAAGAGTATGTCAGAACAGTAAAATATGAATGTTTGAAAATGTCTTCTCCTCCAATTCTGCTTTCTTCACCACCACACATACACAAGCACACACACACACACCCCACACCCGTCCAGGAGCTTTCAAATCTAATGACATCAAATAACGTCTTGAATCGTATTCTGTGCCTGCGTTTAAGGAGGGGAAGCATTTGAAAACGTACGAAACTCAAAATTTATTTTCCTTTTGTGAGGTTTCTTTCTTTTTTGCTGAACCAGAGCTAAAATGTCAGTTATCCAAAACAGCAGCATACACAGGACTTGATCGTCAACATTCTGGAGTTATTGAGCATTGTAAGGATAAACATTGAAGGCAGAAAAAAACAACAGATTTCAGCTGGTGAAATAAACCAACATGTGTCCCTCCCTCACCCTATGAAAAATATCACCCGCCTATGTTAGAAA